GCCAAAACCTGTAGCGTTATGCCCACCATTAGATGGGTGCTCAGGGTTAAACGAAAGGCCAGGGTTACAAGGGAGAAAAGAAGCACCAAAACTACTTGTATCCTTATCAACATTAACAGCTTTGCCTTTCCCCAATAATTCACTAGGGGACTGCTCTCTACGTTTACACTCACTAACCAATCTATTAATCAGGTCTTGCTTTACACCCACATCGGAAATGCCCATTCCAAAGCACAAAAATTTTAACATTTCCAAGGATAACCGGCCAAAATTTGCTTCAAAATTAATCTGACCACGTGACGGCTCGGTATCACTATTCGACGGCGTTGCAAATTCGTCTTCCACCGTAACAGATTTGCCCCTTTCAGAATTACCACTCATGTTAAACGGAAAATAGTAGCAAAATAGCGAAAAAATAGCGGAAAAAATAGCGGAAAAAATATTTGCTCGATGTAACCAGAACGAAAGTCGGGTTCGCAGAAAAGACAAAATTAACTTACATCAATTTCTCACACTCACTAAAATACTACGATCCCATTACCTCATACTTTCCCACACGTACTTACTCAATTATCTCATACTTACCCAATTATTACATACATGCTGAAGATACTAAATTACCTAAGCTATGTTCACATTACTGATTGCAAAACTAATTGCACCATACTGATATCACTGAACACATAAGCACTACATGCTTAGGATCGATCAAACGATCGAACATGTGACCGTAAACGGGCTTGTCACATGTTCGATCAGGTGAGTAGATTCGAGACAAAAGCTGCCTCGATACTTACGTATCGAGCAGCTATTTTCCAACAATCCAAAATTGTTAAAATCCAATTACAAAATCATGAGATTATTACGATTTGTTATTTTATTATTAATTTTTTAGAATTATATGAAAATATCTTTGAATTAAATAACTTTTAATCTACTAATCTATTTTAAATAATTGTGACGGCTGAAGCTGAGATTGGGGGTCTCTATTTAAATCTATAATCTATAATATCTACTAAAATTCACTTGTACTCTTTTATTAATAAAACTTCCCACCAACCTTAACCTAACTCTAAAAAAAAGCTGACAAAAAAGGCCCAAAAATTTTTTAAAATTTAATTTAATATTAAAATATTTCAAACCTCAGCTTCAGCTGCCACAATAATTTTACTACCAAAATACCTGTCTCAATGAGACGATTCTAACAAGCCAAAATCTAATCACAGGATTTTAAATATTATTACTGGATAAACAATCACCAATAAATGGATTTTTATATATAAAACCCATTTGTTGATTGATTGTCTACACAGTAATAATCTTTGATAATTTTGAGATCCTGTGGTTAGATTTTAATGATTTTGGGCTTATTAGAATCGTCTCAGTGAGGCAGATATTTTTGTAGTAAAATTATTTAAACCAAATTAGTAGAATAAAAGCTATTTAATGCCAAAGATATTTTCATAATAATTCTAAAAATTAATAATAAAATAGCACAAAATCACAATAATCTCAGAATTTTGAACTTGTTGAAATCCTCTCACCAAGATAAACATTTTGGTAGTAATATCAAAATAAATCAGTAGATTAAAAGTTATAGCTATTCCAAAAATCAACTAATATGTTATAAAATTAATAATTTTAAGTCACAATGGAAAAAAATTATAATTACCTATTAAAAAATGAAAGATTTTTATATTCTTCACTCAAAGTCCATTCATATGGATAATTTCCTCCGAACGTGACCAAACACACAATAAAAAAAAATCCTGTGGTTAATTTTTTCATAGCAGGAAAAGAACCATCAGGTATGACATATGAAATTCCCTTTGAAAATTTAACACTATCTTTAATGGATTTATTTTTATCATTATCTGTTTTGTCAATTTTATCTGGTTTGGCAACTCTATACATTTCCATATTGACAAATCTTCTATAATCCATAAAATCGAAGGATGGTCCGACCAAGAACCCACCGAAAAAGAATACATAACCTAAGAATTCAAGGACTGGAGGCAATGAGGGAATTGATTTACTCTTTTGATATGGAGAAAGTTCCTGTAATAAACAAATAATCATATTGTACGAGTCAATAACAATAACAAATAATAATAATAATAAGAATAATACTAAATGGAAATGAAGAATAATAATAACTTTAATTGGCCTTCGTCCGTCATAAATACTAAACGCGAAAGAAGTAAGTTTCATGACCAACACCATATGTGGACCCGTAGGATCATAACGTTCAAGTGATACTTGATTCCATTGACGGTGTAAATGACTGTTAATGAAAAGCGATAAAATAATATAAAGATAATAATTAGATAATTAAGATAATAAAAGTAACCGCATTGTTACACATTGATCAGCTTGCATTGTAACACGGGGGAGGTGATTTACAAATATTGTGAAGGCTTACTTAATACTTAAATGTCCTAAAACACACAAGAATACGAGTTTTGGGCCCCAAGGACCTTTAACAAAGTACAATATTCCATAAGTCAAAGCAGAATTAAATATCATGATCCAAAATGCTTTAGATAAATCAAACAAGCCAAACAATATAAAAGTGGCAAGGAAAATAGAAAAGAGGTGTTTGAGATTTTTATTATTCGCAGGCAAAAAATTTTTGTAAATTAAAGCCATGAGATAAGTAGCTAATAATGAAAAGATTAATCTTAAATGGTCTTGAGAAACTTGGCCACCAAAAAGGGCAACAAGTTTAGAGAAAAATTGATTAAATAACGGCATAATATAATTATAATAATTGAAATGAAGGAAAGAGATGAATGACAGAAATAAAGGTTAAAAAAAAAAAAATCGAAAGATATATATTTTTTCGAACTATATGATTCGCGATTTTATCATTGTATCGATACTATTAACAATACGTATTAATGTTGATACTGAAAATTACCTTTAATATGTGTTTTCCAGCCACGGAACGACAAGCACATGCAAATATAAACAAAAATTGGGGCAATTAATTAATAAAAAAACTCGTACAACAATGATTAACGATTTACGTTGTTATAAATAAATTCCAGATAACGTATTGTTTTCAAGTTTTATGAGATTTCGAAAATTTAAAGAAAAAAGTAAATTAATGAAATCTATTATATTAAAGTATAGATAAATAACAAATATAAAATTTACAGAAAGAATTTATTATTTATTTTATAAAGAAAGAATTTTTTTTTTTTTTTTTTTTTTTATACCGGTGATATTACTATCCTCGGGCGCGTGCGCTCTTTAAAGAAAGAATTTTTATTTATTTTATCGAGAGTTTCTTTGATCTATAATAAAATCAAGAACTCTCCGTACCGGGGATACGCTTCTCGAACGGTGTACTACATCATCATCTGAGGAACCACCATTTGTGATTTCAGACTCATTTGTAGATGTTCTGCGCGGCCGCCGGCGGAAAATTTTATCCTAAATAGATAATAAATATTAGTATTTAGTGAGTAAAAAGTGTATATGTAATACGTAGCATAATTAATGAGTTGATCCACATACCACAACACTTTCTGCACCAAACCTTGCAGCAAATCCTCTGACAAATTCCTGACTTCGAAATTCCCAGAGCGCAAAGGTTTGCGCCAAATCATTTTTTAATTCTGAAAGATCATTACTGAGTTCTACCTTGGTACCATGCCAATTTTGATGGATGGTGGTGCGAATCTCAGAGATAGACTTTTTCATATGGAGCTCTTGCTCCTATAAAATAAAGTAAAGTTTATTTATTTTAATTTATTTTTTGTTTTTATTTTTCAAAATTTTTTATATTTATTTTTATCATACCTTAAGAAAACCAATATTTAACTCCTTGGGGGAAACCCCCCTTTCTAAATTGCGTCGCACATATTGATCGTAATCTCTTACTATTCGAGTTATGAGGTCGCTAGTCGAGATTCCGCCTGTGCGTTGTGTGGGGAGAAAACGCCCCTGTTCTTTAACAAACGCATACACATCGGCAGTGTCACTGGAAGCATAAGGGATGTCGTCGTGGGCGACATAGTCAATCTAAAATAATAAAACTTAATTAATAAAGCATTTAACTAAATTTTGAAAAATTTTATAGCTGCATACATTATATTTATCTATAAAGTCTTGGGTTACCACCCAAGGTGCGTGTTCTATCACTTCATCAACCCACTTACAATGCCGAAGGGACTCCGCGCGTTCTCGCTCATTAAGCACGGTTTTTCCCTTTCTGGCGTGGGTGGTGGCATCGTCACACACTTTTATAAGTTATAAAAAAAAAGAAATAAATAATATTTACAACAATCATGTATGAATATAACATTATACATACCTCCAACAAGGAGATATACATGGGGGAAAGAATTCTTAGCTTGCTCTAAGGATTTTGCATGGCCAAAGTGGAATAAGTCGTATATTCCATCGCAGTATATGCGAACGGGCCTATCGGTTGGTGGTGGATTGATTTTAAACGGGCGTTCTTTTGATGTTTGTGTCGTCTTGCTTTTCTCCCGTGCAGACGGTTTATTTTCGCGTGAAGATTGTTGAGTTGGGCTTGAAGTACCGTTAATTCCATCATTTTTAGATCGTTTTGCTGAAGAAGAAAGGACATTTGTAGTATTAGCGGAAGACTCAGATAAAGATGTATCTACAGTATCTTCTTCGGATGTATATACAGAAGAGTCGGTGTTTGCATTCTCTAGCTTGTTATTTGAAAGAATGTCCTTCTCGTAGGATGGTTCTTTTCTCTTTTTGGTGTAAGACATATTTATGATATTGTAGCAAGTATTTCTTAAAGTTATCTTATCAGCGAACAAGAAAATTATTTAAAAAATTAAAAAGGTCGGTTAGAAAAGGTGGTCAAATAATAACTATGGAATGTATCTAGTTAAAAATAAAACAACTTTAAGAAATTGCACTTGTACAACGAATATGATAATAAGAGAGAGTAAGAGAAAGAAGAAAATTAGGTTGAGGACCCAGAATAAAGATCGGTTTTATCTAACTTGAAAATATGTAACACAAGAGTTTCAGTTAACATTCTGAAAGCACGTGTTAATGCAACGCCTCTGAAAATCTTACCTGAGATTGCCCAATGGTCGGCCACCACAGGTTTGTTTTTTATTTATTCAACTGGGGTCTTGTAACATGTCATAATAAACTTAATAGATAAGAGTGCCTCCTTGCGCTTGCTCGACCTAAATTAGAATTATAGTTTCCGATTTGCATACCTCTGGTACGTAAATGTAATATCGATTTCTCAGCAATAATAAATATGAACATACGTACAATGTGACGCTACCTCTAGATGGATTGCATCATATGTACGTACGTACGTACGTACCTCTGGGGCTGTTAATGAAATAGTCCAGAGTGGTATGGAGTATACCAGATTATACTCCATAATTATATCAGAATTTTCGTATGCTATTCCGTGTTATCCGTGTTAAACTTTATATAAATATAGCATAATGTATTATATATATATACTTTTTAATACATATCGATATCTAGAACTTCGTAGTATTAATAGTAGCTCGTAATCTAGACTAGATTACTCCAAATGTCTGCTAAAGCAGATAATTAGTTACAAATCAAAAATTCGAGAATAATTCAGTTCCTGGTACAACATATCATAAATAAATCATTATCACTTTTGCCTATCGATATAATTTAGAAATTATCGAATTATAAGGATCTTTAACCCGTATCCAAGTATCTTAGACAGAAAGTATGGATAGACTTTTTAATTAAGTACGACCAAAACAGTGCGTGTGTAATCTTATGATCGTAATAACTAATAAAATTGTGTGATACCAGTCATAAGATAACGCCAATTGTGGGCATGTAAAGTTCTAGAAAATTTTAGCTTCACAGTTGCTACGCATATCTCAAAAACAAACTGGTACGTACGATATGTAGCCTTAATATATTTAAAGTTTCATCAAAATAGGATTTCATAACTACATAGGGCTGTATAAAATACCAAAATGATATCAGCCATATCTCACGACTTATATCATTCGATTCATTTTACGTAGATGAGTCGTATGATATAAAATCATATTATGATAGGTCGATCCTATTCATCAATCAGTTTATACAATAAAAAAAATATATCGATATCGATATGCAGGTTGCTCGATTAACATATCCAGATTCTGATCAGCGATCGTTAGTGCATTATAACTTACGTATAAAATATTCTTTTTATATTTATGCAATTAATATATTGCATAATCTACGTCCAAAACGAGTTTAAACTTGATCACTAATACTTATCGCACCATAATTTTCTTTTTTCTTAGCGTTAGTGTGTTTTTACTAATTTACCCCCAGGTTTCTGATTGGCTAGATTTGTTTACATGTCATCTTCTTTTAAAATATGACGCCTTGGCTAGGGTTAGCAATAGAGTTAGAAGGTGCCCCTATACTAAAATTTTGCAAGGAATT